CTTGCGCTTTCCCCCCCGAAAAGAAAAAAGATAGAAAAAAAAGAAAATTAAAGTTGCTGCGCAGTGCGCATGCACCTGCAAATCCAGCAGTCTTGAACGATGGTCAAACTTGCACTCGAATAGCAGCCAAACCCCAATAGCCGTCAAACACAAACAGCCGTTGAACTCAAATACCGATCGAACTCAAATACCGATCGAACTCAGACAACCTCAGAACTTGAGTGGCGATAAAACTCGAGTAGCTGTTGAACTTGAGTGGCGATCAATCTCAACTTCGAACTTGAGTGGTGTTTGATCTCGACTAGCCATTGAACGCGAGTGGTGTTTGATCTCGACTAGCCGTCCAACGCAAGAGGCGTTCCATCTTGACTGGCCGTCCGAACCGAGTGAGTTCCATCTTGACTAGCCATTGAACCCGAGTAGCTATCAATCTCAACTAGCCGTCGAACCCAAGTAGCTATTCATCTGGACTAGCCGTCAAACGCAAGTAGCTATCGATCTTAATTAGCTGTCAAACCCGATTAGCGATTGATCTGGAGTAGCGGTCAAACATCAATGGCAATTATGAACGCAATTTTTGAAGCCCGAACATATCATGTAATATTGCTTTACTATCATTTTGGGTACATTTTCCTGCTTTTCTGCTTAGTGAACACGCACCCATGACAACTCAGTTTTTTAAAAGACCCTCACACGGTCAAGTAGCCGAGAACGTAGGCTTTGGCTAGATTCACACAGTGATGTTCGCAAAAAAACATTTAGATGTGTGGCGCAATCTTACAGCTAGTTTTTTCCCTTATAGTTGAGGCAACTCAAGCATGCCATGTACTAGCAACAAAGCGGATTGGAAAACATGAGCATTTGACCTTTGCAATCAGACACAGAGTAAGTGTGATGACCTGATCTGGGCTCCGGCCAGGACCCGAGGTCTTCATGCCTTAAACAATAAACAACTGTCCATTGGGACGGTCATCGAGTGGGTAGAAGGAAGCTAAAGAATTGGATTGGTGATTGAAAACCGGTTAGCTTTGACGAAAGAAGCCAATCGGCTCGATTTCGCCTTTGAAACGTAACAGCAAAGGGCTGCTTATGATCGCTTTCTTGTGTGGCTTGGGAGGAAATAGAACGAAGCCAAACGATCGGCTTGGCCAAACGATCCGCTTCGACGAACGATGACAATTGGCTCAATGTAGCCTTCGAAAACCAAGTAGAATGGAAGCCAATCGATTGGATTGGCGATCACAAATCTGTTTGCTACAACGAACAAGACAGTCAGTCAGATTGCTTCCGAAACCAAGAGAAAAGAAACGTTAAGCCTACCACTTGACCCAAAGACCAATCGCTAATCTTGGTCAAGGTGATCTGATCGAGGGAATCAGGATCGATGACAAGGCTGCATGCGCACTGCGCAGCAACTTTAATTTTCTTTTTTTAATTTTCTTTTTTTTTTCGGGGGAAAGCGCAAGCTTTGCTGGAACCGCTGTAAGTCACTTGAAAATTTGCAGAAAATACATCTATAGAAACAGGGCTTCTATCAGCCTAACATCTAGCAACTCTGTCTATTGTACAGCTAATACCAAAACTATCTTCCCCCAAAAGCTACATGGAAGGTCAAGCTTAGCCAAAAATTTACACTATGAATCAAGCAACACAGGAAACCTTGCCCCACCAGCTAACCCTATAATATTATTATGCCTGGTCATTCTCATAAAACTGGTTGAACTCTGAATATTGCCAACAAACTCAATAAGTTCCAAGTAATCATGCACACTCAAGCCTGGTTGGTTCATGCACAAGGCATGAAGATACATAAATGGGAATTGAGATTGCTTGAAGTTGACAAAACAATTGGTCTTTTTTGTGCAAGTTACTACTTTCTACTTGTCATTATAACTGGTTTTGCAAAATCCAGAATACTCAAAATATTCCAGCTCAAATAGCTTACAAAAAAGGAGTAATAAATTGAGTGTGATTATGCAATCCCAAAGATGCTCTTGGTAATAGCCAAGTTAGGAACAGGGAGGTCAAGGCATGTTCCTTGGCAGCTAGATTAACTGATTCCAGATGAACTGTGAAATTGCTGCCAATCAAATATTATTATTCAAAAATCTTCCTCAAAACAAAATGTTTGATGAGATGAACTAAAAAAGACCACTTTTTAGCAGCAAAATCCAATATAAGCGCTGGTGCACAGCGTAGAAGTGCTGATGACTCTAGAGCCCCGGCCCCCAGCAGTATGAAGTAAGGGTTGCTACACTGAATGCTAAAGCTATATGGCCATTTAGAATAGTGTAGTGTAGGAGCACAGTGCTGATGACATCCTCAATACATTTATGCCACATAGACTGAACATAATGGACGTTTGTATTGTCTTTATCAGAATGACAAGCTCACTTTTTTCATTCCAGAATTTAATACTGAATGGGTAAACAAAAAAGAAGTATAAAACCAATATACTGCAAGAAATACTTGTTCAAATTGAATAAGTGCTTTCAGGTGACATCTGATGTGACAAACACCCCTTTGAAACACTTCATGTCAAATGTAAGCACTTACATAAGTCTTCCTTATGTTGAAATCTGAGCAGTAAGCTAACTTACTAAGAGTAAGTGCCTGCCCCCCCCCTGTCAGAGTGGTAAACCACTTGTTGCATTGCACCAACCAGAGGGAGGGACTTATGTCTAAAGTTGACCCTGCAGCCTGAGAGCATCAGGAGTTTTGGCTGGGAATTTTTTGTAATCAATCTGACACAACCTTGGTTGATTGGCTTATTGGTTTTTCTTCTAGTTTCAAGATTGGGGATCATTCAAGCTGTCTTTATCTGTGTATTAACTTTGCTAATGGCAAACACATCTCCTTGATCAATTATAATGATGATCATAACATTGCCAATTTCAGATACTGTACAGTGCAAAATGTGTGAAGCAGGATGGAGCAGGAGAATTTTAGTCACAAAAAAGACACATTGAATGCAACTTTCTAGCTTGTAGAGAAAAGTACTGAGTGTGAGTGAGGACAAGGTTTATTGGACCCCAATGGGGGAAGATGCAGGTGGCCATGAGTGGGCAGTGCGGGGAAACATGAGGAAACGTGGAGAATGACAGGCACCATGTGGCATCAGAGGATCTGTTAGAATCACCGGGCTGCACCAAGCTTGCCATTGTGCAAATCAGCCAAAGCCAATATAGCATGTACTTGTAGGTTCAGTTGCTCCAATGGTAGGATTGGAGTTTTTATCCAAGCTGCTATAACAGTGCACACAGAGTTTACTCCTCTGCAGTCCAGCCCTTTGGGCTACCCCGCAACAAACAGCCAATCAATAGTCTATCGGATCACAGAAGACCGAAACAATTACTATCTGAGCAACCTCGACCGAAAGAGAAAAATCTTACCAAGTGAAGCCACGTGGGCTTGTGATTCTTGAATTTAGCTGAAACTAAAGGCCGGTGGAAAAAAGAACTGAGAGTGAGTGAACAAGACAATGCTGCCTGCAGCAGGAAGTGGGGACTCGATTTCATCAACCAAGTAAGGCATAAAAGAGAAAAGAGCATACTGGCCATCAGGGTGTAAGTACATTTATCAAATGGACTGCTAAAAATTAAGTTAGCTAACACTAAAAGGGTTGATGGATTACGAGGTGAATGAGATGTCGAGAAATTAGATAAAAGATAGGTCTCTAATAATTAATCATTTCGCTGAAAAAGTTTGCAAAAGCAGGGGGTGTTTTGACTGCCGCAATTGACCATCACTCCAGCAGAACTTGTTATGACGGACCTTGTCGATGAATTTCAATGCCCATTTCCGACCGCAGGCGGCATCGGCTAGCTCTATCTCTTGTAAAGCTGCTTCTAACGTTTCTGCTAGGGTCTCACGTATTACCGGGTTGTCCTCAATCTCACCGATCCACATTGACCGTCTGCTCCTGTGGGTAGAACTGGGTTGTTTGGGTAAGAATTGCGTCCGTAGGTCTAGTAGTTTCCTGCTCAAATAGTACTTCTTCCTGTTTTCCCTGATCCGGTAAACTACATCACAAGATACCAATTGTCACACGTTTATAGAGGCAACAGCCACTCAATGACGATTGGCATCTCGTGATGTAGCTCACCGGATCGCGGAGAACAGGAAGAAGTACTATCTGAGCAAGAAGCTACTAGACCTACGGACGCAAATCTTACCCAACCGACCCAGTTCTACCGATATGAGCAGACGGCCAATGTGGATCGGTGAGATTGAGGACGACCCGGTAATACGTGAGACCCTAGCAGAAAAGTTAGAAGCAGCTTTACAAGAGATAGAGCAAGCCGACGCCGCCTGCAGCCGGGGATGGGCATTGAAATTCATGGACAAGGTCCGCCATAACAAGCTCCACTGGAGTGATAGTCGATTGCGGCAGTTAAAACACACCCTGCTTTTGCAAACTTTTTCAGCCAAACGATTAATTATTAGAGGCCTATCTTTTATCTAATTTATCGACATCTCATTCACCTCGTAATCCATCAACCCTTTTTAGTGTTAGCCAACTTAATTTTTAGCAGTCCATTGGGTGTACTTACCTTCATCCCTATGTTTTCTTAGACACCAATCCAATGCCAGTCATTAGTAAAACATCTCTCGAGAAAATCTTGGCTGCGAGTTGCAGTAAGAGCTTTGAGTTTTGTTTCGGTCTACCAGTGGAAAATTGTTAGTTTGCACTTATCTGGATGGTTACTTCGAGGAATAAAGATTGTACCTCATTGTCTCGAATAACTTAAGATGTTGATTTGCCGAAGTGGTTACTTGGAGGATGGCGAGTAGGAGTTGGTTACTGCATCTCCATATAGATGAAGGGGAATGTTACCGCTGCTCTGAAATTTTTGTAGCTAGTAGAGAAAGTACCTTTTATCTCAAGTGCTGAAGTTCTAGTGGACCCCAGTAGAGGATCCAGGTGATAGTGAGTGGCGAGTGCTGGGGAGTGAGAGAATGGGGAGAATGGGGGAAAATGGCTGGGACCGGTGGGCATGAGAGCTTCTTTTATATTCGCAAGGCAGCACCAGGGCTCCGCATCGTGCAGCAGCTGAGCCGGTGCCAGTATTGGGCTCAGCATTCAAGCTGCCATCCCGCTCAGCATTGGATTATACCACCAGGGAACAGAATCATCTGAAAACCGCGCAAGACTCCGACAGCACACCTACAGCGCTCCTAGAATGCTCAGTAGTAATTTTTCAAACTCTTCAGAGGCGAACATTCGTTGAGCGCGTCATGATCCAGAGTTATTTTCGAGGCCCTCAGTCTTGACTTGGCCTCAACCAATCTGCCTCTGGCACAATCACTGAGACGACTTTTGCCGTAGGGAACATTTGTTTCTTGGCTGTTGCAGGAGATGTGGTAGTATGATAGTTTCTTCAAGAGTCAGATTGGCTGAGCAATTCAGCTGATGGTATTATGAAGTTCGTTCGAGGTATCTGACTGTCCAGAGGGCAATCAGCTGAGCTGATGAATGGCGGGGTCTGGGGAGCACCCAGAGGACAAAAAACACCTATTTAATGGTCTTATGAGGCAACAACCGCACCCTTCCTCTCGATCAGTCATTATGCAACGCGACTTTTGTGCAATCAACAGTGAAGATCCACTTCCTCTTGAGTATTGCAAGCAATTCAAGCCCTTCCCTTGTATGATCGAGTGCCAACTTTTCTTTCGATGCCCGGATGTCTTCCTGATTCCTAGCCCCTTCTGATATAGCCACGTCTTTTAATTCCTTAATGTGTATCTTCAAGCCGAGATTGTGGATTGCTATCACTGAATCCCATGGACTCACCGCAAGTTTCTTTTATAGCTATCGATCTCGAAAGCGCAAGAGACATCCAACCACAAATCACTATCCTCAATCAACTGCATTATAGATTCATCGGATCCTGCCACTACGTGACTCGGTTTGTCAATTCACTCTCAGTTAGAGAACGGTCCTCATGATTCAATCAAGCGGACCATTTTTCACTCTATCATCAGTTATCGTGACTCTTATCGCAAGGGGAACAGTCTGGATCATCATGAAACACTCCATCGGGCGTAGTTGTAGTGCTCTGGTTAGTATCCATCAAGATTCTCGCGTTGATTTATTGTTGCACTCTAAGCCTGCCCCTCTCGACTAAGGAAATATTACACGATCATTAATCACTTCTTTGTCATTCAACCCAATACACAGATCAAACCGGACGTGTTCAACGGAGGATACATCGCGATCATCCTCAAGGAAAAGGAACCTCTCGATCGATTGGATTATCTATATACATCGAGAAGGAAGAGTACACCGCGTTATCAATGGAATATACAGAAGTTGTAGTAGTAATACATGATTTCAACATGAGAGCCTTGATTAATTTCACATGATTTGATCCAAATTGGGGGGGGGGGGGAGAGTGAGAGGAAGAGCAAGAAGAAATAGAGCTTGCAAAGCCTAACAGGTAGTAAACTACTTCTCCAACTGCTGAAAGTGACTTGGGCTTGCTCTCATCATGAGTTATTTTATGTTTTGTCAATTTTTGATGCTACTTTGGGGGCTTGCAATCCTTTGGAAAATTCTCAACATCCATATGCTTGGGATCGGTGTCTGTGCACATGTTGCCGTATTTTCGAGGGTTACCCCCGCTTTCCAAAATCATTGGCTATTGTGAGAGAGGATGAGTGGGAAGAGGTTTCAGATGCATTTAGTGTGAATTTTGTTATTATAGATGAGTGTGAAGGCTCATATATAATTAATGGGAATCTCTAATACTGACCTTGCCTTCGGACGGGATTTTAATGGTGCCCGGTACACAGCAAGTGCTATAAGCCATGTCGGTGCCGAGACAATTATAAAAGTCTTTGTGATTTTCTGTCGAGTGTGCTTTTACGACTGTTAATTTGAACAAACGGGATACATAGATCAGTTATCATTTCCGCTTTACCGTCAAATCAAAATGAAGAAAAACAAATATTCACTCACATTCCCATTTAACCGGGTCATCGCCGTCGAACTGCGTTCCTCTGGCGCAACCTCCTTCCGATCTGCCAGAGGAAGAGGGGCAAGTAAATGTGCACTGCTTCTTCTGGTCTTCCTCCAAGGTGGCAGCTGCTAAATCGAACGCTGCAAGCGTGACAACTATTATCGATTTTAATGATAATAACATCGTGAGAGTTAATGCAAGAAATCGATCTTATTGAAACAGATGAGAGGAGATTTAAAAGTAGCTACTAGGAAAAAAAAACGGGCTAAAATACGCTGGGAGGAGTTATTGGAATTTCGGTTTGAGTTTATAAACTCGCACTGGAAAGATTGGATTTACAGGAACGTGTGGTTGGATGAGGGACAGATGGGGCTAGTTGGCTCGATTGATAAGGCTCGATGTAAATGTCCATGTTCGTTGCTTTGTGATCCCCATGCTAAAAGAGCGCCAAGATGAGGACAGAAGCTGTGCGTGAAGTGGCTGAAACCATCTCCCGTTGATAAATTCCACAAAGTCGAACCAGCCAGCGAGCACATTAAAACGCCTCCACAGTGTGAAGATACCGAATCCATCAACCTTCGACTGTCGTACGGCCAAGCAATCCACGACAGTCTACGGCTAAGTATGTATCCCGATGAATGGGTCAACAACGGCTTCTATGTCACCCGGACAACCTGATCGAGTTACTCCATTTGATTGTCAGCATGCAAGAAATTGTGCCTCCTGAGCTGTTTCTCAGGGAGGAATACCGTAATGCGCGGGAAGCCCGTCATCGACTACGTTTGCGACAGTAGACGGACCTTATCAGTGTAATTACTGGTATTAAGGGGGCTCACTTACTGCTGATGTTGACCATCAGCAGTCGAACTTTGCTAGACTAGCTGTTTTAAGGTTTATGGGAAAGTAAACGAGTTTAGTGGGAGGCTCCCCTTTGGAGTCGAAATCCCACAATTAAGGTTCATGAAGTTTGTGCATCAGCAAACAAACCTTGTTCAAGACCAGCAAAGAATTTGGTGCAACGTGAACTGCCCTATTAGCCCGGTTCACAATAGCCAGTCATCAGCAAAATTTTTAGCTGCAATCAGCAAATCATTGATACTTAAAAACACATCCATTTTTGAATGTGTAGCCCGGAGTCCCCCAGATTATTCCAGATCAATCCAAAAAAAAAAATGCTATCAGCAACTTTTAACAAGTTAATCAGCCATTGGAACTGGCTATTGTGAACCGGGCTATTGGTTCATCAAACCAATCAACTAATTACTCTTATCTTTGAAATGCCCTCAGCCACCACCCAGCTTGCTGGATTGACTGAGACAATGGTCTTGGGCTCACACTACTCCCTTGTGCTGTCAGGCAAAATGTGGTTTTTGTCAATCACATACTTGCCTCAAACTGGTTCCCTGTTTTTTTTTTTTTCCCTAATAGATGGAATTATGTTTTCTTTTTTAAATTGATTCAATCAATTACATATCTTATGCCCTTGGCTTAAAAAAGTCCCTCCAACTGTGGAACCCAGGCTGGTGTCCAATGGAAACCACATAGGAGAGGCTTACATGCAACACCTTGCCTAATCATTGCATGAGCAGAAAAGAATTTCAGGCTAAAGACAATACAGACCATTTGTAAATGGAAGTGGGTGATCAAAAAAAAATCTGAACAGAAAGAACTTCAGCCCAGATCCTTGTTCAGAACTTGTCATCATTTACAACTTTTCAATCCAGG